CCAGTTTCAGTTCCTTGACCACAGTCCGGATCAGGCAGCCGATGAGGTTCGAAACGCATTGGCGTCAGCATCTCAACATCAGCATTGTTGTCTCTGGAATTTCGCATTAAATCTTTGCAGCACATTCTCTTTTTCGCATACCCTTGCAAAAGGTATTACAAGCTTAGCATTATGTTTGCAACGCATCAGAAACAAGAAAATACACTAAGCTTATACTATGGTTCCAAAAATGTTGAATAAATGTATAAAAATCACAAAATTTATGAAAATAAAAACATCTTTAAGCACCCAAAATAAATATTTGCAGAAATAAATGATTACATTCCATAAAGATAGCGCTTCATTCTTATACCATATACCACAAAATCAATTGATTCCAACAAAAATAGCGATACAAAAATATAATGATATGCTAAAGGCTATCCCTCGTCAAGGTTTATTATACCTATCGATCACATATACGTACCGATCACAGAATAATAGAATAACTGAAAACTTCGTTCAAATCGCATTGTTTCTATAAACTGCCATATGATTTAGCGATCGGATATGCTTGGTCTCGACATGTAATCGCTGCCCACAAAGAAAACTCTGATGCAAAATTTAAGGGCGGACTAGTGATTGAAATAAACTGAAATGTGAATCCTTTTTAAAACATCTTTTTACTTGACGTTTCTTCTGTAAAAAAGAGTTCAATTATTTCAAACTATTAATATGCGTAAACAATATAATTTTCTTATCCTCAGAGTATATACTGATCCTAAGTATTATTTTTAAAAAGTGTTTAAAAATGTAAAGCTGAGGGTTTAATCCTTAAAATAATAATTATAATTTTGTGAAATATAGGACAAACTGTACTTAAACTTCGACCAGATAATTATGATAAGTTTTAATTTTGTTGTTAATCATAATGTAAACATACTGTACTTAGCAAATATTTAAAATTTTTGTCACTTAACTTGTAACTGCACTTACAGAAATGAATTGCATGAAACCAGCTTCAGAAATATTACCGGCATTATTATTAATAGCAGGATAGATGCCGAAATAAAAAACCGTATCATAACTTCGCTTTAGTAGTTTGTTTTAGCGAGAAATTGATCTTGCTACTATTCATTCGAGAAATTACTCTATCGATAGTAACAAGTATTGCAATGCCTCCATACCTACGACTTCATCTTTGTATGGATACCTCTATGGTAAGGGTATACACAATGTGCATTGTTTATTACTCACTCTCGAAGTTTTATGAGCACAGCATGCATGCATAAGAGTATTATATTATTTAGTATTTCACGCATTTTACACCGATCGCGTCAGCGATTCTGCTGCAGCTGCTGATGAGTCTCTGAGGTCCTGTTGATGGCTTAAGCCGATAAGACAAAATACCAAAGCTGAACTTGTACGACCTCCATTCGCACATTCACCGATTGTCTTACATTTAAAAATAGCCACAGACCACTCTCGCAATGTGGAGAGGATGCCTGAGCTATTTCTGGCGCCCTGAGTGGAATTTTTTTTACTTCGCCAAACAGCATTTGCTAAGCAGCGACAAGAAATGTGAGGCGTGCAATAAAAAACCAAATGACGACACGCAGACGCCAAACATGTCGGTCGACCGCAAGCAAGGCCGTTCAGCGACCTTCAGCGTCATCACCATCGCCAGCACCAACACTAGCCCCGGCACCGGCACCGGCACCGTCACAGGTCCTGCTCAGATTTTTATGGGCACGTCGTCGCTCGGTCGCTTTGTTTGCTTTGCCTTGCCTTACCTTGCCTTGCCTGGCCCTGCCCCCGACTCTCGATTCAATTTCGCTTTACCAGCTTGCGGTATTGGGGCAGATCAGTTAACGAGCCCGCTCCAGTTGTTTGGCTGCCTTATTTATGGCAGCCCCATCAGCGCTTAATTGGCCAAATGTGTCTATAAAACCGATGTTGTACGCTTTTGTCTCGCTCCCTCAGTCCTAAACTTTGTCAACGTTATGGCGGAAATGGCTGCCCCAGCTCCAGAGCCCCAGCTCCAGTCCAGATAAGCAGCCAGCTTACGAGTCTACTTGTTCAGCTCCACAGAGCAGGACAGCCTCAGCTGCGATGCTTTTTGCCATTTCCGTGTTTCACATTCAAAATTTATACGAATGTGAGCATTTTTATTGTTGTTTGTTTTGTGCATCTGCCTTTTCAACTGTTCTTCCACTGCTGTTCACCTTTTTTTCTCCTGCTTTGTCACTTGTTCATATCAATTAATTTTTAATGATATGGTGTGTAGTGTTCGTACAGTGCTTTCGAATCCAAGCATATAGTTGTAGAAAATTGAAGCATTAATTTGTAAATAAAGCTTATTTTCTGCAGAATATATGTACATATTATTTGCATAATTTAACTTTAGCTGCAACATATCAATACCATGTGCCATAAGGTGAAAGGGCATACTAGAAAGTCTTAGCGGCAAATCTATCAACCAGAGGACGGTGTAATAAGCTGTTCGAAATAAAATCCGAATAAAAACTGAATGAAAAATCATCATTTCAACTAAATCTGACTTGCTTTGTATTCATTTAAATTTAAATCACTTGTAGGAATACCAGTTCTTACTGTTAATCTCTGATAATCTATATAAAGCCGAAGGCAGTTAAGCTCATGACGTCATAAATGTTGAACTCTTCAACCGTTTAATGCTTAACCACTTAATCATTTAATCGCATGCAGTTGCTAGTAGAGTTCTTGTGCACGGCGCGAAAGCGAGATGTAAGGAATTTGTTTAGAACATAAGACAATTTCTATGTTACACTCTAATTATCATCATATTACGCGTGGCTACATAATACGACTATATGTGATCGGCAAATCAATGTAGACTTAACCATTCATCCTTTCGTCTATAACTTCCACCGATAACTTTTGAACAACCATAACAGCTAGGAAAACAAGATTTGTTTTGTATACTTGTCCAATCCCTAGGCAGAGGAACTCCCTATTTTATACAAGTATAAATAAATAAACCTATTGATTACAAAAAATTTTTTTATTAGAATAAGTTTTGCATTTATTTTAGTTGAATTTCTGTGGCAGAAATGGGTTATATTAGAGTCAGGCTAGAGCGACCTATGCATTCTACTCGTTTTCCCTTAATAAGATATACTAGCAAGATATACAATATTATTAGCAAGATATACAACTAACAAGATATATTACTAACTAACTACTAAGATATACAATATGTACTACGTACGCATACTTCCAAAAATTAAATCAATAAAGTTAGGCTTCACAAATCGGGCTCAACTTCTAATTGAGATTATGTTTAAATAATTATTTTAATGCATTTAAAAGCAAATTTTAAATGTTCCACTGTGCGTCTGTCACAGTGGTGTTCGCTGCCATTCGCAGTATGTTTTTAATCAATTTTAAATGGTTATTTACATTTTCGAACTGCCTGCAATTTTTAACGCATCTCGACAGCTCATATCGCCCGTTTTGCAGCAACCTGTTTCTTTGTTTTGGGATCCCCCTCTCCTCCCTGCTGCGCCGTCAGCTGACAGCTGCCATAAGGATGAGCACCCCCGGCGACAATTGCAATTTAAAAGAAAAACATAAATGCCAATACAATCAGAGTTATTGCGATTTTATTTTATTTCAATGCAATTACTTACTTTTTATTTATTTATTTATTTATTACACTAGACGACTTATGGTGCTTACAGCTAATTAGGATATGCTTTAGCTCTACACTATACTTATATACATTTGTGTACTTGTGTACGAGTATATAGTAGGTGTGTATGTAGAGTTACATGTGTTACATATGTATGTGTAGTTGTGTATGTGGCTAGACCAAACACTGCAAAAGGCAGTTGCTACGGTTTGGTGCGGCTAGTTAATAATTATGGCAAGTTGCTAGTTGAAATTTCGATGCGTTTTGTTGTTTAAGGACAATAAATTAAATTACAATACCAACAACTATAATAAATTAATTAAAATATTAACTACAAATTAAACAAATTCGTTTACAAACACACACACACAGAGACAAAAAGTAGTAATGTGTAGAGGGATTGGTGGATCAGTGTTGGTCACGATTGAGAGAATCAAAGGTGTATATGTGACGTCACTATTTCAGGTGCCTCCTGGATATTTATTTATTTAAAAATCAAAAATATATTTGATTTTACGAGTATGTTTAATTTTATTTGTATTTATTTTACAACGAGGCTTCTGCGTGACAGAAACGGATGGTCACTCAAATAGCCAGAAATTATTCTGGCATTAACTCTTGTAAACATTTGACGTGCATAAATCTGATGTGTAGACATTTGACGTATGGGCAGAGGGAATACTTATACGAATCTAACGAATTTGTATGATTCGTGCAAGTTTCTGGCTTATAGACATCATTCATGTAGACATGTGATGCATAGACGTCTAATTTGTTTACATCTAACGTGTATGAAATGGCGCCTTAGGCATCAGATGTTTCAAATATCTGATGGGGTTTCAATTTCACTTTCAATTCAAAGTTGCTCTCTCTAGAAAGCAACAAAGTTTCAAACTAAATGAAACGAATTTTTAGTTAAATTTCAATCAATGGTCGTTCCTTCAATTGATTCAGACTTGCTTTGTATTCGTCCACTCTAAATGGCCTTCAGAAGTACCCGTATGCTCGTGACGTCACAAATGTTGGACATTTCAACTGCTTTGTTCTTAACCTCTTAATCATTCAATCGCAAGCAGTTTCTAGTAGAGTTGTTTTGCGGAGCGCGAAAGGGAGATATTGGGAGAGTGTTTAGGATATAAGAAAGTGTTTGTGTAACTAACTAATTGGCAACTATATTAAGTACATTTATTTATGCTAGACTAACTAAAATACGACTTGGATCACATGTGCATGAAATGAATGCCAACATCTAATGGCCGACAAACTGCTGGTTCCTCTGTTGCTGCTGCTTCACCTTCTTCTTCTTCGTCTTCTTTTGCTTCTCGACCACTACAAGTAACTGCAACTACTACTTCAACTTTAGAAATGTCAACAACGCCTTTTGTATCAGACTGCGATTAATGGTCGAATCGGCTGTATAACGCACGCCTCGCAAGTTTCCATCGTTGTGGTCCACAACGCCATATTCGCCGACGATGAAGCCATCGTCGGTCTTCTCCTCGACGCGATACTTGCGATAGTTGCGTCCCTCCACCACATAGGCAACTTTGTCATCATCCGATTCTTCGCCTCCACCTCCTCCTCCGCTCTCATCGTCACCTTCCCCACCTCCGCTGTCGCCTCCTTCATCATAATCGTTGGCATTTGTGTTGGCGTTGTAAACCACCGAGCCGCGACCCCTGTCTATGCCACGGTTCCGACTGCGTGGCGTTGTTGCTGCTGTCACTGTTGTTGTTGTTATTGTTGCTGGAGTGGCTGGTGTTGTGGCCAATGCTGCAGCAAGACCAGCGCCACCTCCACCACCGCCCGCACCACCCTGCACACCATGAGCGCGTCCGTTTGTCATAACACTTACGGACTCTTCAATTTCGTAATTTTGCTCTGGGGTCGGCGTGTAGATCTCGGCGCGTTCCGTTGTAAAGTGTTGTGGCATGGGGGGATGGGCAGCCAAAACTGCTGCTGAGGAAGATGAAGATGAGGTGGAGGAGCTGCTAGAGGTGGAGCTAGAACTGTATGAATAGGCGCTGATGCCAGCCGCTGACGGTGCATGTTGGTGTGCAAATTTGGAAACACACTTGACTAGATCTGTCGACAGAGAATAAGAGAGAGGTATGATGTATAGTATACGAGTATACGAGTATGTACGTCGTTGTATGATAAGTTCAAGATTAGTTAGTTAAGGTAGGGCAATAGTTTTTGTGCGTCTGCCAAACTGTCTGAGTAGCCTATAACTGCACTATACTACAGAGTCGAGCCACTAAGCAGAAAGGTCTTTTTAATATGAAGTTTGTGTTTCAACGCTAATTAATTTTTTTTCATTACCGGTATTTTATACTATGAGCCTAACTTTAAAAACCTTGGACAGTTATGTGTATAAGATGAAAACATATTCAATGATCAAACATTTCTCATTTTTGTCTATCATTTTCCCGAACCGAGCATAAACAAAAAAATTATCCCTTCTTCTCTGCACTCTAGGATAAACTTACCACTTGATGAACTCATAAAAAAGCTACCTTCGTTTTTCATTCTAAAACTGTGATCTTTTTTAAGAACATATCATCTTTAGATTAATAATTTAGATTCCGAGAAAATAGGGAGTGTAACTACAGTTTAACTGGCCAATGAGGTCGAAAAAAATTTGATGAAACATGTCCAAGTCTTTATTTGGTTTAGTTGGTCAACTTTTAAAAACCTTGCATAGTTTCAATATGTTTATAAGCTGAAAAAATATTTAATTATCGCTTTAAAGCTGTTTTAGAAAGATTTCTCATTTTTGTCTATCATTTTCCTGAACATAATAAAATAATTGTCCCTTCTTCTCTGCACTCTAGGATAAATTTACCACTTGATGACCTTATAAAAAAAGCTACCTTCCATTCTAAAACTGTGGTCTTTTTTAAATACATATCAGCTTTAGTTCAATAATTTAGATTCCGGGAGCAAATAGGGAGTGTAAATTGAGTTTAGCTGGCCACATGTCCAAGACTTTATTTGGTTTCATAAATCATGCTTAGCTTTTAATCATCACTTTCCTCATCTAGAGAGCATTACCCTGCAGTACAGTGTAATGGGTAGGCTGTCTGGAAACTCACCTCTGTTGGGCAATCCTTTGGCATTTTGATTAGAATGTTGTAGCGACAGTGATGAATGCTGACGTTGCTCCCAACATGGACGCGACTCTTGCTGATGATTAGCTGCTTGATGTTGATTATGTTGCTGCTGCGTGTAGTGTTGTGCATCGCCGGGACTTGAACTCTTGGACAAAATTGGCTCCAATAGATGCCGCATGGACTGTTGCGGAGCATTCAATAAATCATACGGCAATTTATCCAAATTGAAGAGTACACGACGCGACTGAGACGGAGACGAAGACGGAGACTGAGACTGGGCATTTGTTGGCTGCGGCTGATTATGGTTGTGATAATGGTGGTGATGCCAGGTAGTGGGTCTAACGGTGGCAGCATGGCTGCTTCTAGTTGTGGGTGCCCTGGTAGTTGTTGTCGTTGTTGTTGTTGTTGTAGTTGTTTTCGCCGCTTTTGAATTTGTGCTGGCCGCTTCGCCAAATGCGATGCGCGAGACAATTGCCGGTCTACGTGAGTTCAAAAAGGTGCCAGACGCTGGCACAGTTACCGACTCCAAAATTGCTGATTTTGCTGCTTTTGTTGTTGTTGTTTTCATCACGCTGGCTGTTGCTGTTGTGGGCGGCCGTATAGTAGTTGTTGTCGTTACTGCTGCGCTAGTTGTTACAGTTTGTGGCCAATAGGTCTTCGCAGGCTCGCCATAGACTTTTGATGGCTGTGAATAAACTTTCGCCGGCTCGCTATAAAATTTACTTGGCTGTCCGTAAACCTTAGAGGGCTCCGAGTAGACTTTCTCCGGCTGGCCATACACCTTAGCGGGCTCAGAGTACACTTTGGCCGGCTCGGAATAGAACTTCGAGGGCACACTATACATTTTGGAGGGCACAGAATAGAAACGAGCTGGCTCTGAGGTATGGGCTAGCTTCAGGCTCTCGCTCACATTGCGCTGTGCCTCGGCCAGAATGCCGCCAGAGCGCGGCCAGGCTGGCAAATCGTCCACGTTTTGCGATATGGAGCTGTACGATATTGATCTTGACTGGGGGCCGTGACCCTGCTTGGTGTCGTGATAGATCACCGTCTGGAACGGCAACAATTTGTCTTGTGTGGAGTCATCGGCATCGCTAATTTCATCACCAGCATCCACACCATCAGCAGCATCACGTGTGTGATTTATGGAAGCCGTTGACGACGATGACGATGATGACGAGACTGTGGCATTTCCAGTTCGTCCATGATATGCGGCGACTAGTGTGGATCGTTTGGAGGCAGCTGCAACGAGCGGCGATGCCAGAACGCTCTGTATATCCGAGGCACTATTGAGTGAATCGCTCTCCACATCCATTACATCCAATTGCTTGCCCTTATGCATGGTCAAAGGCTCTGCCTCCTCAATGGACAACTCGCTCTTATGCGATCTGTTGACGAAATCGTCGCGCCCTCTTTTTGTTGTTGCAGTCGCTGCTGCTTTTGTCGTTGTTGTTGTTGTGATTTTGGGTGCGGACGTAACGGGTCTGTGCACCCTTCCACCTCTCTTGCTCGATGAGCTAACACTAACGGCCAACACTTTGACCTCATCGCTGGGCCGCACTTTCGTCTTTGATTTTGCCGGACCCGCCTGCGGCGCATCCTCCAGGAAGACGATTTTGCTGCCCGTCGTCACCAGCTTCACCACCTGCTTGCCCTCATCGTCCGCCTCATGCTGCCCATTGGCATTGCGATAGCGCGTCTTGTGCTCCAGACTCCGAGCCCCCGCCACGCGCGTCGACTCGGCGCGACCCTCAAACTCGCTGCTGTGCAGGCTGCGCTGCTGCTCGTCATGATCGAGAAACAGCTTGAGGAACTCATTGCCCGCAATGAGATCACTTTGTCGGCCGGTGGGTCGCGCATGCGCAGTATGACAGCACAACATCTGCAAACAAAAGGAATGGAAATGATTTAGTTTTGTGTCCAACTAATGACCTCATCGGCTTTTCCAGCCAACCATGATGCACTGCGCACAAATTAAAAAAAAAAACCAATTGTTTAATAATTTATGAAAAATACAAGCAAATATTTTAAAAAATAATTAAATAAATTTTAAAATAAAGTTAGATTCAATAACATCTTAACAATTTCAAATATGTTCCTTGCATTATTGTCAAGTTAAAAAAATACTTCTAACAATACTTTGTTTGTTTTGTTTTGTTTTTGCGAAGTCAATGGCTAGTTCATACAACTTTTGAAATAATTGTATTTGTGGTAATGCAATAAGCCAAAAATGTATTTCAACATAAATATAAACATTTAAGGATCAATTTTCTTAATTGTAAGTTAAGTAATATCATGTTTTTTTATTTAAAAAAGAAAATTCCCCTTTTTAGCAAGTCAACATTTAATTTATAACAGAGATCAAATATGATTTTTTTTGTCCAAGATTTTATTATCATACTCCTTAATATAAATTAAAAACCCAACGATTAAATAATTTTACGTGCGGAATCAGGTTTTATTCTACTATTTTAACAATTTAATTTTTTGGAGTTGCTGTATTTTGTTGATTTTTGCTTAAAATAATTATATTACCAGAAAAATAAGAAAACTAGTAGTTATAAAAGCAAAACAAGTTGTTCCCATTGCTTCCAAATGAAAATAAAAACGAAACGTATGAAGGTGGATTCTTAGTCTTTTTCGATTATATACTCAAAACGCAAAACTGAGCTAACAATTTTAAGATTCGTTCATTTTTTCATATGAATATGAATACTTAAAGAAGATAATTTATAAAAATTTAGATCAGTTGCGGCATTTAAGAAAGTGCTGAAGATAATCCACTTTTCTATCGAGATTTTGAACAGCTTTGCTCCAGTATTTCTTTTGGAGCCATACTTTCTTAATTTACCTCAATTACAAGTATATTTCTTTGAGTGTACACATCATTATGCATGATGCATTTCTCGCACTTGGCATCGCTTAATCAGCGGTCAGGTGCTGACACCCGCCACTTGCTGTGACTTATCTCGGCGATCTATTAATAAATTTGCGTAATTAAAATATCATTTGAAGTGATCAGAGCGGCCCACTATATTAAGATATGCACATACGAGTGTATGTTTGTATGCACGATAATGTGTATTTATGCTTGAAATATCTTCAAATGTGCATAAATCATGCAGGGAGCAGGCGAGCGGCGGCAAGAGATTGACTGACTTGGAGTTCGCTTCGCCTTATGACATTTGCATAATAATGTGTTTAGTTTATTAAGACATCAATGGAATGCTGCGGTCCCGTTTGAAGTGTGCGGTTTCTGCCCAGCCAGGCCATGTAAATAGGTTGTAAGCGGCATAATTAACTGCAAGTGGCAAGTGAGGCAGAGGAGGAAAGTTGCACACTAATCTACGCAGTTTAGTGCTCGAACTTCAAAAGAATAGCTCTGAGGTTAACAAACGAAAAGACGCGATATTTCTCATTTATTGTAGTGCTTGGCAATGTATTGGAAATGTAACAGCAGTTAATATTAGAAATCATCAGGCCATTCTTTTCACTTAATTGAAACTACTCTTATGTTGTTATGGAATACACTCAACATTCATATTTCATATTCTTGTCATAGACCGTCTGCCGTCTGAAATACGTACACAAATAACTAGTCGAATATTTAAGTCTTGGCAGCCCTACTTACACTTGAATACCTCGTGCACATCGTTTTCGACCCTACAGTCTTGAACTGAAATTAACTTTTTTGCAATCATCTACAGTGAATAGTCATTTTTTAAACTATGGCTAGTATCTATAAAATAGTTATAATTCCCAATGCTGGAAATGGTATCGTAATAAACATATCACAAGTTATTGCTACTCATACTGATTTCGCTCGTTCCCTCAACAGTTATATGAACATTTTAGTGAAACATCAGATTATTTTAAGGCATTACGCTATATTATGGCTTCGAATCAACATGTCAAAGAGCAAAGATTTCGGTTTCTACGTGATAAATTCAATTGTGTTTCTTTATCTCCAAAATATGTTGTCAGTTATATCACAACGACTATTAATTGCTTAATCAGTAAGTCGTGTTACAAGTACAAGAGAAATTATATGTGATTCATTTAACCAATTCCAATATCGCCTGTAAGTAATTAAATAGAATAAAGCTTTTATACTCGTATAGTGTAAGTATTTTTATACCCTGTACCCGTAGGGTAAAAAGGGTATATTAGGTTTGTGCAAAGTATGTAACATGCAGAAGTATGTAACATGCATCTCCGACCTTAAAGTATATATATTCTGAATCAGCATGACGAGAGAAATCGATCTAGACATGTCCGTCCGTCTGTCCGTCTGGATTTGGCAAATAGTGATTAGTGATTATTCATCCATATGTTAAGTTGATTGATTGATTGTTAAGATGATTGGTCAATTCTGAAGAAAGTTATAGCCATAAATAAAATCGTTGCCCATTTAAATATTATTTAAAATATATTTTTTTTTAATTTTCTTTTTTGTGGAGAGTACAGGGTATTTCACCGTCGAGCTTGCTCGACTGTAGCGTTCTCTCTTGTTGCTTTTCAAAATATTCGTATCCAAGTTCAATATGGTTTCCATCAGCTTGAACTAATATTGTTAGCAATTTGTCTATCCAATTGAGGGTGTCTCATTAACTCTTTATTGTGTTTATTTCTTCTTTTGTTGGTCACCATTATAAGGGTTATTATTTACCATTTTCGTCCCGTAGGGCCGTAGTTTACTTCTGAATTTCGGGCACTATTTGTTGATTGTGTTCATTGTGGGTCTGCACTCCTTCCTTTTGTTTTGCATATGGCTAAGACAAGTCCTGAGTTTTGTATTCTTAACTCTTCGAATCCAGACGAACAAAAATTCAACTGGTAGCTACAATCTTAATTCAATTGCCCGAAAACGACTTTCTAATTATAGAGATAGGGAGCTTAATATAGTTACACGATAAGGCGTACACAAGGTTGGGAAAACCTTGACAACTAAAACCAATTATTATATTAGATAAGAAACTGAGACACCCGCTTACTCGGCCCTATAAAAAGGCAGCGAAGTCGCGCATCTTCACCGTTTTGACTGTGACACAATAGTAAACATTATATTGCCATGTGCTGCAAAGTTGCCTTGTTGGTGTTGTGCCTGGGAGCAGTGGCTCTGGTCACAGGCGCTCCTTGGAATGCAAGAGGTTCTACTACATTGAAACCAACGGTTTCTACATTGCCCCCAAAAGGCGCTCCATGGAACGCAAGAGGTTCTACTACATTGAAACCAACAGGCCCTACAAGGAACCCTACAGGCCCTACAAGGAACCCTACAGGCTCTACATGGAACCCAACAGGCTCTTCAAGGAACCCAACAGGTTCTACATGGAACCCAACAGGCTCTACATGGAACCCAACAGGCTCTACATGGAACCCAACAGGCTCTACATGGAACCCAACAGGCTCTACAGGGAACCCAACAGGCTCTACATGGAACCCAACAGGCTCTACATGGAACCCAACAGGTTCTACACGGAACCCAACAGGCTCTACATGGAACCCAACAGGCTCTACATGGAACCCAACAGGCTCTACATGGAACCCAACAGGCTCTACATGGAACCCAACAGGCTCTACAGGGAACCCAACAGGCTCTACATGGAACCCAACAGGCACTACATGGAACCCAACAGGCTCTACATGGAACCCAACAGGCTCTACAGGGAACCCAACAGGCTCTACATGGAACCCAACAGGTTCTACATGGAACCCAACTGGCTCTACATGGAACCCAACAGGGTCTACTTGGAACCCAACAGGCTCTACATGGAACCCAACAGGCTCTACATGGAACCCAACAGGCACTACATTGAACCCAACACCCCCAACGGCCTGAAACTCCATAATACCTCATTAATCCTAAAGCAGTTAAGGCTTAACTACCGGCAGTCTGCAGTTCCGACAACGCTCCACACAAATCGGAAACAATCAATAAATGTTTTATCATTGTAAAAATTGCGAAAATACATGTTTTAATCTATCAAGAACGACGAGGATATATTTAATTCTTTTTCAACTTTTTACCCAACGGCCGATTCTACTTGGCCTAGGAAATTGAGCATTTTAAAAATATAATCATAAAATTTTACTGTTCATTTTCATGGAACAATAATAACCCTACAATTTAAATTTATCCGAAAGTAAGCTTGTTGAAAAAAAAGAGCTTGATTACACTGCATTCGACATGCAAATATTAATTACATATATCTAAGTGTAATGCAAGCCTGGAGTTGAGAAGACCTAAGCGATCAACAATTATAAATACAAACAAAACATACTTTTTTAAAAATTGTATTTCATTTCAGGTAAATTTAAATTGTATGTTTCATATTGTTCCATGAAAATTAACAGTTAAATTGTGTGAATATATTTTTAAAATTATCAATTGTATTCTATATATTTCACACGTTTTCTGATTTAATATCATTATTTTCATAGGTATTGAAAAGATAGCTTTTGTGCTCAAGAAGAAACATATTTAATTAAAGCTGTTGAAAAAATGTATCAATTTTGCTATCATCCTAACCCTAAGTGAAATCATACAAAATGGCTGAAAAGCATTTTTCATACAAACTTTGAAGCAAGTCCTGTAGCCGAACTGTAACCCATAGCAGAAGCAAAAAGTAGAAGAGCGAACCCCCTCCTCCAGTTTGTGGGCTTAGTACTGGAGTGACATTGTTTCGCTAATAAATTTTCATTTTGATTACGGATTTGGATGAATATTAAAACAAGTAGAGAATTATGTAACATATTGCTGGGTATAACTGAAGTTATATTCAGAAGTACTTGTATATTATGATGATGCCTTTTTTAAGTTCTCATATAATTTAATTAAATGTGCGAACGTGATGAGGACTAGATATTGCCGGCCTGTATTATTATTCCATTATGTTAACAATTCCATCATAACCTATACCTGGGGGATAGTCAATGCGGGATTCAGTTTATACAGCCCATTAAAAACAAAACTTAGTGAACAATGAATGTTATGCTCTGTTCTTTTTTATTGCTTTTTTACACACATTTTCATGCACAAGTGTACATGAAATACTCTAACCGCTCCAAGTTGTTGTTGTTGGGTAAGGTGTTGTTGTTGGGTTAGAGATTGTGGGTGCTGTTGGAAAAGGTGTTGTCGGACCTGGCGTGCTAACATAGCCGTTCTTGAGGCATGAATTCAATTCCTCATAGGTGCTGGTAGTTTGGGTCACATAGACGGTTTCAGCATTGTTAATGCAAATAGTTTGTTGGCTTTCGGCCACATTGTACTGGTCCTTGATTTTGGCAGCAGCATCTGTTGCATTGGACGAAATTCCATAGAATATTTTGGAATCTTCAGCGCTCTGTAACACAGGACTCAGTCCATATTAGTTTTAAATTCTGGTATACTCATATAAATTGATCTTACAGTGTTGGCGATGCATTCGAAGGCAGTGAGACTGCTGTTAGCATTGTTGCAGGACTGAAGACTGTTGCAGGAGTTGTAAATGCTGTTTTGCATGGCCTCACGTTGGGCTTGCCATTGCGTATTTATAGCCGCAGTTGCATTATCGTAGTTGCTCACGCAAACTCCGTATTCAGCTTCGTACTGATCGGTAATGCCACTCAATATCGGACTATAGTAGGAGAAGCAGCTTGGAGAGAAATCCGCATGCACTTCGGCCAGCTGCTTGGTTTCTGCCTTAAGCTTTTCAATTTTCGGATCCACCTTGATTTTCACTTTCAACTGAGCCGCCAGTATCAGGCTAAGGCCGAGCAAGACGAGGAAAAAGGATGTTTTCAATTGCATCTTCATATACACTTGCTTGTTTGCTTTGTGGCTACGAACAAACTTGTCAAGAAGCAAAGATTTCGGTTTCTTTTATATAGCGCCGAGCCCAAGTGATAAATTCAATTGTGTTTCTTTATCTCCAAAATATGTTCTCCGTTATATCACAGCGACTATTAATTGCTCAATCAGTAACTCGTGTTACAAGTAAAAGAGAAATTATTTGTGATTCATTTAACCAGTTGTAATACTTATACACCTTCGGGCTAAGAGGAAATGGGTTGTCTTATCGTCTCCAAGTAATTAAGTAGAATAAACCTTTTCTGAATTTTTTCTTTTCCATCAGCTTGAACTAATATTGTTAGCAATTTGTTTGAGGCGAGTCGATATAGCCATGTCCGTCCGTCTGTCCGCCCGATGGTATGAACGCAAGGATCTCAGAAAGTATGAAAGCTGGAACTACCAAACTTGATATTCAGATTCTCCTAAGACCGAGAAAGTACGAGTTTAAGTTTTTTTTCGATGCACCCCCCCCACTCCCACGCAATTCGTGTTTTTTTTTTCATAACTTACGTAATTTTTGGAATTTCGTACTCAAATTTGGCAAATACCTCCAGTTAGTGATTATGTGTCCATATGTTAAGTTGATTGATTGATTGTTAAGATGATTGGTCAATTTTGAAGAGAGTTATAGCCATAAATAAAATCGCTGTCAATTTAAATATTTTTGAAAATATTTTTTTTTTAATTTTCTTTTTTGTGGAGAGTACAGGATACTGTACTGTCGGGCATGCTCGACTGTAGCGTTCTATCTTGTTTGTAATACATTTGTGACAACGTCACAAACCCTTTTAATGAAATGCAATTTTTCGAATGCCAAATGTCTTTATAGATTTTGGACAACCCTCGTGGACCTCCTCCTCTCACTGAGGATAGAAAAAGTAAATTCACTCTAATATACAAGTAGTACTAAGTGTATATGTACTATCATATATAACGCAAAAATTATGCTGCTCGACTCTTTCAAATTCTGAATAATCCTCCAAACTTGCCCAGTAGGGAATAAGTTTTATTAAATATTTTTCATGTGCGATTGTCTTAGAAAGGCTTTTGGACACCTATTTCTATAGTAGCTATGAAAAATATGCAGAATGTAGGTTAAATAAGGTTAACAAACAAAAAACAAAACTGCAACTAGTAGCTACAATCTTTATCCAATTGCCCGTAAACGACTTTCTAATTATAGAGATAAAGCCTCCCTATCTAGTTACACGATAAGGCGTACAAGTACACAAGTTTAAGAAAACCTTAACAACTAGAACCAATTATGATAGATAAGATGCTGAGCACATCCGCTTACTCGGTCCTATAAAAAGGCAGCGAAGTCGCGCATCTTCACCGTTTTGACTGTGACACAATAGTAAACATTATATTGCCATGTGCTGCAAAGTTGCCTTGTTGGTGTTGTGCCTTGGAGTCGTGGCTCTGGCCGCTAGGCACGAGTTCAAAATCGTAGTGGATCCAAAAATCGATCGTTTGAAAAAGCAAACTGATCTGCTGAGCGCGAGTAATCCCAACCAAGTACCCGATTGCTTCAATACCTACAAGCCGATCCTGACCCAAGCTACAAATCAATATGAAACGGACTTTTCCAAGTGCAGTAGCACCTATGATCAGGCCTCGACCCAGATTGATGCCCAGTGGGCAAGCAACCTTACTCAGATCTCGCAGAATGTAAATACTACATGTGCGGAGATAAATAACTGTGCCAACATTGTGGGCTATATTGAGGCGTTCGAATGTTTCGCCGAGTTGGTAAGTACAATTCCCTATTTAATTATGCATATATTTTTAAAAGCTGTTCCCCTTCTTTTTCAGTCCGCCGCAGACTCAAAGGCTATGTACTCCATTTCGGCCGATGCAAAAAATATTTCCTCAGATATCCAGAATGCGTACCAGACTATTGATTCGCAGCTGGCCGTTTGTGTGAATAACGCAGAGAGTACCTATGTAACAAGTACAACTTCGACTTATGAGCAATTGAACGCATGCTTGAATGGCAATGGCACAGAAACAACAACAGCATGGATCACAACAGATGGTACATGGAACTCAACAGGCACTACATGGAACTCATCTGTTTCTTATGAAAATACCACCGCAAGAAGCATTAACTCTCCATAAAACTCCATTAATCTTGAAGCAGTTCCAACAACGCTTCACCCAAATCGGAAACAATCCTTACCTCTTTTTATCACTTGAAAAATTGAGAGAATATATGTTTTGATTTAGCAAGCTCAACGGGGATATATTTAATTTTTTTTTTTTTTCAACTTTTTATCCAACTACCGGTTCTACTTTTCCCGGGAATTAAAAATGTGCAAAATTTAACTGTCCATTTTCAATTGTGAAAGGTACATGGAACTTACAATCTACATTTATCTAAAAGACTGCTTGTGTGTTCTTTAGCTAAAGCTAAATCAAATAGTTAGCAACAATATATTGTTCAGTGCCATATCTGAATTATGCAGTTAAAACGTTTAAAGGAAGTCACCAACTTACATAGAATTTAATTATTACTGGTTCAGATTCGCTTGGAATACTGTTACAAAGTTGGTTCAGAGACATATCTCTAAAAAATTTTAAAATATAATATATTGAACTTTCTAGTATAGGCTGATGGCATAAATATAAATATAAGGCGATTCTGAATAAGTTTTAAAATATTCTACAAGTATGTCTACAAAAATTATATGAAGCATAGCATTAAATTAAGATCAGCATTTCAAATAGAAATCTAATATTATTCCATAAGAACAACATACTAGGAGACAATTTCGAATTTGAAAATATAATATAAAATTCATAAGAAATCCACTATCCTACCAGGCCTTACGTGCATTTCAGTTATGATCCATAAAAAATTAATTTAGTCTCATTTTCAGACGCCCACCATCATTGCTAAATCAAAATGCATAATACATTTAATGGCAGACAGAAAAATCAACATAACTAATTGCGACTACACAAATAATAATTTATAACACTTCTATGGGCCATAAAAACTGATTATGGAAAGGCAACGCGCCAATAGTATACAAATACATAATAATAACACTAGCTTACAAACTTATAAATGTGTTCGATTCCACTGCATTCAACATGAAAATTATAATTATATCTAAAAATAATGCATGTCTGGAGTTGAGAAGTAAGCAAATAAAGTTGCAGTGATAAGCAGAGTTAAAGTCATTCCTGGGATTAATGAGTTATTATTATATATTAAGAGTGCAATGCTGGTAATACACCGGTAACACTCATAGGTTTATCAGAGAGAAAGTGGAAGTGCATACAGACACATCACATACTTTAGCCTTGGATCTGAGACAGTCTTTATCCAGCTTTCTTCTGGAAGGACAACTAAGACAATCTATTTTGGGAGAAGCATTCCGGTTTATAACGGACGGTTTTTCAAAAACACTCGCCGCGAGAAATCGCAGGAGGACTTTAAGTACAAAGTGAAGCACAAAATATATATATATTTTTCACGAGTTTTGTGATGTAATATCATTCTTTTAATTAGTGATAAAAATATAACTTTTGTACACAAAAATAATAGTTATTTTTAGTTTAGATAAAAGCTCTTGCAAAAATGTATCAATTTTTGAATTATCTTATTTCTCATTTCGCTTGAAATAGTTCCAAAATTTAAACAGACTTTGTGCTTAGGGTATTTTCGAAACTAAACATTTGCAAAATCAACAATAGTTCGTTATTAATTTCTTTAAAAATTGCGGGCGTTGTTAACTAGTGTAATCATACATAATGGCTAAAACAAAAGCAAGAGTTTTATATTAAATAGTCAAGAACAAAAGACAATGTAAATGCGACCTTATTTGCATGCAGCTTAAAAATTGATTGTTAGCTGCAATATAATAGCATAATTTTTAATTTATTATTATAATAAACAAATAGTGTTTGCCACAACAAGAACAACATCCGGCAGCCCGGCAGACCAAGTCAACATAACTACAATTTGTCTGACAGCTTCAGCACAGAGCAGCGATGTGCAACAATAATAATAACAACAACTACAACAACAACAACAATTAGGTGGGCGCGCGCGTTTGGTCGCTCAATTGCCGCCAGTTTGTTGTTTTATGTAAGTTTTTCTAGATCACATTTAAGCGATTCTATCGTAACAATTGTTGGCAGCTTGCCAAAAGCAACAACAACAAGAGCAGTTGAAAACACCTTCGCACATGTGCTAAAGTTACACAAACAACAAAAACAACAACAACAAGAAACATAGCACAGAGTTGTCAGGCGAATGGCCAGTAGTTCTTAGTCAGCGCACCCGCCTTGCCTTTTAAGTCTAAAATTGCAGAAGTAACTGCTGCGGGCGGTGAACGACTAAACCATTTAACATTGACACAAAATCACTGAAAGGTATGCACCCGCAACAACAACAACAGCAACAACAACAACAACAGCGACAGCAGCAACAACTGTTTAAACAAAAGCTCGTAAGGGCTCTATAACTAAACAGTGTCAAAAATATTTGATTTCGCGCTACACAGATCTAAAAACAAAAGGTAAAACACACATTCTAAAAATATTTATCCATTGTCCAATTCTGGGCATTGTGCAGAGTTACTTGAACTGCCCGGTCAGTGCCATTGACGTCGGGCATACGAGTACGAGTATATACTTGTAGATAGCACACATTAGAGCTGTGCGTGATCGTGAAATATTTAAAGCGAATTTTGAATTTCATGTCAAAATTCGTGCCTTTACAACGACCCAGAATCTAATGATTTAAGAAAACAAAAACAAAGACTTGCTTTATGTCGACAAAATAATAAAACCGCTATCAGTACATATATGGAACCACACCTTCAATGAATATAAATTTGTTTGTTTTGAGTAATTTCGGAGAAAACTATAATAAATAATATACAAAAGTTCGCATTTTTTAAACCATGTTCAAAGTTCATGTAATTATTCATTGCAAGATTTAGGGGCCATTTAAAACATTAGCATCATTAAAAATATCCTTCTTTGTCTCAATATACGATTGAGGGACCAATTGAAACCATCATTAAGAATATCTATCCTTTTATTTTTGCCATGCATGAGACAGCTGGAAAATCATATCCAAGTCCGCCATTCACAGGTACGTAATCGATGTGATCTTAGGTGCAGGTTGCGGTCGTAAGGGTCTTATAAATCGTAATAAAAAGATAAAAATCTATAATGTCAACTGGAGAAATGTCCTTCTTTATTTACTTTTAATTGTTAGTTTAATTCAATTGAATTTAATCTTTCTTACCTTCTACCGAACGAACAACCAGCTATCGTTGAAATATAAAATTATTAGAAGCAAACGTAAACAAAGGATTAATAGGATAACCCACGTATATACTTAAAGAACTGCAACACAGCAATTTTATATGCAATTGCCTAGACAATTAACTATTTGCAATGTAAAATCTAAGAAAGCTCGTTACATCTGAGGGTCTTAAGAAATCAATTTGGTGAATATAAGTGATCGTCACGACATTTTTTCCATCACGTGCACAACTCTAATGCATACGTGTACTTGTATACTGCTATGTGGCAGGCACTCATTTAATGAATGAAAATTATGCGTCCACTATTCGCAGCAAATCATAAATTTGGGGCCAACCATGATAGGCAATTATTGTTAATCTTGATTGATTTATCAGTTAGCCAGCATTTTGGCTAATCCTGTTAGACATTCTTTTGCACTTTGCTCGATTAACAGCCATCTGAATGGAATACCAGAGCAGTAAACTATACGCAGCATTCATTTATCATTCAATTGTTCGCCTTTCACAACACCACCAGCTACAAGAGGGAGCGGTGCCCAACACCCACCTCCCTCCCCATTCCCTCTACCGCTACCTTCATTGAATTTCCACGGCTGTCAACTTAGCGGAAGTGTCAACTGCCACTGGTATAGCTACTGCCGCCAAAGTATGGCTTGCCATTTCAAATTAATTGACTCGAACTCAGGCGCTGCCTTTTATTTCTTTATTTTTAATGTTTCATTTTTTTCTGTATTTTGTCACTTTTGCCTTTTGAAATTCTAAACGCTGTGCCCAAAAGGCGTGTAAATTGTCACATGGCGTCTTCGTGTGCGCTCGAAACAAAAACAAAAAAGAACCGATTTCAATGAGTCTTGAGTATCCGCCTTATTCGTGCATACAAGAAAAAAATAAATGCTTCATACACTTGATGCTCATTATATAACAAATAAGCAATAATCTCGCTTTAATGAACACTTTCTGATGCCATACATACTTAGTGTTGTTGTTGCTGCTGTCGGTTTCTAAGTATATCAGGCAGCAGCTCAATTGATTTTGAAGTGCCTTCTCAACGCTTGATTTGTTTTCAAACCTCATTTTAATTAGCCAAATTCCAAGATCATTCTTTTTTCATTATTTTTTCTTTGATTATTTATTTTAGGACTTGAGTTCCCGTTTCTATTTTGGCATTTATTACTATTATGTATCTGATGTTGAATTGGCAACAGTTGACAAATTCTATTGCGTTTCTAATGTCTGGTTAACAATGTTATTATGCAAATTTCGGAAGCATTTTAATAATCCAAAAAATAGAGAATGAAAATATGTTGCTTGGATCTAGACAATTAAGAGCGTCAATGATTAATCAAATACAAACAGGATTTTGTTTCGCATGTTGGAATGTTTGGGCAAAACGAATGACTTAAGGCACGAACTTGCCACCCAAAGTGCACAGACGATGGCAAATTTACATAAAACGTAACATGCTGCCTGCAACTTTTACCCAAAAGTGCACCAACTACAAGTACTTACAACAACAGCGCTAGCGACACGGAAAAAGTTGCCAGCCATATAATAATGAAAATTTTTTGTTTTATCGTGTCAGTCGGTCAAAAGCGAATGGGAAACTGCAGCGCAGGTTGGCCAAAGAGGTGACCAGCTATGCCTACAAATGCTTTCTATCGCCGCTTTATATACATATATATGTACTTATTCAAGGCTCGTGATTTGTGAAAACATTAAATTAAACTAAATGGGCAATTAAAAATAAAAGCTGTTCGGAAAATTGAAGTAAATATGAACGACAAATTATTACTTAAGAAAACAGTAATTGGTATTATGAAGCGTTTGTTT